TCATCTTCCTCCCCCAGTAGCGTGGCTCGTGTGGAGCAGATCTGAGGTGGGGGTGGGGCAGCACAGCACTTCTCAGGCCTCCCATCTAGGAAGTGCTTTACTCACCTTACTGTAATTTATCCTGGCGAAGGACACGTGGCAGGCCATTGTGGGCCCCTCACAGGACAGAACAGAACAGGTGCTCCTAGCATTCGGTGACCCGTTCGTACCCCTCAGCTGAGCAGTGGCAAAGCTGGGTTGGGGAAACAGTGCATTCTGGCTCTAAAGATCATGGGCTGCTGGGTGTGGTGGTGCACACGTACGATTCTAGACCTTGGGAAGCCGAGGCAGGAGGATCACCATGAGTTTGAGGCCAGCCTGGGCTACAGAGTGAGTTCAAGGCCAGTCTGGACTACATAGCGAGACCCTATCTCAAAACCCCCCAAAGCCAAACTAAAACATAGAGACTGGGTTTGTGAGTTGAAGACTGATTTAGCCACAATTTGGTCCTGCTCCAGCCTGGGACAGGTGAGGAAAATCAGAGCCCGCAGAGCCCAGTCCTCAGCTCAGAGCAGAGCTCAGCTCAGACCTTTCTCCTGGCCCTCACGTGATGCCGTGGAGGTGCTCTGCTGCTTCAGGAGCTTGCTCGAGTCCCCGAGTCCGAGTGCGCCCATGCACTTGGCCCTGCCCACCCCACCTTGGGCCGTGGCTCCTTTTTGGAAACAGTGACCGACAGGGCACAGAAGGGCGGGCACAGCAGTCTGCCCAGGTGCAGTCTGCGTCTCTCGGCCCCTCGGGGAGCCGGGGTTAATCGTGTTCAATCTGTGTTCGCTGGCACTCGGAGGCCAAGGTGCACAGGACCGACTGCTCACCAGTGGCTCTGTGTCACGTTTGGTGAGGGTTCGCTGGGCTTAGAAACTCTCTGTTCAGGGCATGCAGCGGGTTTCTAACAGGTGGTTAACTTACTACACCACCTGAATTAAACTAGGGCGATGCTGGGTGTGGGAGGCCCACCTGAGGGTTGCTGCCAGCAGCATAAAGGCAGAACAGGAGAACAGGAGAAGCTGCTGACACGCTGCTAAGGATGCTGCTGGGAGACACTGGTGGAGCTGCTGGAGCAAATAGTTCTTGGGCTGTTGTTCTGCTGGCTTTCCTGATGAACTCTGGCAGACCTTTGGTCCCCATCCTACGCATCGATTCCTGGCTCCAGAAGGGAAGATGGCGCACTGCTCAGCCTCATGAAGCTTGTTGCTCTGGCTTTCCTGATGGGCACTCAGCTTTTCTCATTGCTGGAGGAGCTCGGGACCTCACTGCCGCTGAGGACGCCTGTGGCACTTTTGGGGGCGCTGTGGTGCTTACCTTCAGCATTATTTCCTGGCTCCGGTGCAGATCCCTCAGCCTGCTGGCACAGACCCTTCATCCCCCGACAGACTTTCTAGCTTCCACCGCTGCCCTTTGGGCCTTCCCAGTGCAGATCCATGAAGCAGGCCTGCGTGAGACTTTGTTGTGGGCTCTAGGCCTCCAATTGGATTGGTGGGAAGCATTGTTATGAGCTGCTCCTTCCCCAGCTGCTGTCTGACCGCTTCTACCTTCTGTCACAGGTGCCCGGGGACGGTGAGAAGCAATGGAAGCCGGTGCTGGTTGTCCTGACAGAGAAGGACCTCCTCCTCTACGACAGCATGCCGCGGCGAAAGGACGCCTGGCTCAGCCCCGCGCACTCCTACCCCCTCCTCGCCACCAGGTAGCCGTGCCGTACTGGGAACCCCTAAAGGAAAAAGCCACGTGTCTTTTAGCCAGATAGATTAATTCCACTTAGTGTTAGGCTCTTTCTTTCTTCTCCTTTCCTTTCCATGGTACCAGGGATGGAACTCAGGACTTTGCGTTTGCCAGACAGGCGCTTATGCCACGGAGCTATCTCCCTGGCCCTAGGCTCTAGCTTTCTTTCTCCTAGTATCAGCAGTGCATACTTAGGATTCATGTGAAATACAGCATTTTTAAAACTGTGATTACGAAAATATTTAAAAACAAAAACAAAACAAACAACAACAACAAAAAAAACAGTGATTGTCCTGCAGAACAGCATGGGCATTAACAGGTGCAACTGTGAGTCACACCCAGGAAACCGTCGCCACACTTCGTAAAACACTGTGTTGTCAAGCAGTATGAGAGATAGCCCCATCCCCTCTGCAACGTTGCTTCTGCCTTTTTTTTTTTTTTTTTTTTTTTTTTGTATTTTAGCAAAGGGTGTACAGGGTGTTCAGGGTTTCACTACTAGATCAGACTCGTAGTGATTCTCCTGTCTACTACCTCCCAAGCGCTGGGATTACAGGTGTGTGCCACCACGCCCAGTCTCAATTGCCATCTCAGTATGCCAGTACGACAGGCCCCAGGACTGAACCGGGGGCCCCTGCGTCTGCTTGCAGGCGCTTTAATCTGCTCAGCTATTGGGCCGGCCCTGCTTCTGCCTTTATGTGCTTTATTTCCGGTGATCAGGACACACAAGACCTACCCTCCGGGGCAGTGTTCAGTCTGTGACGCTGTGTTGGCAGTGCTGCTGTGCTTTGTGGAACGGACTTGCCTAGCAGGACCCAAGCCCGGTACTCCTGGGCCAGCCCCGTCCTCCCTTCCTCCCTCCACTGGCCCCTGGGAACCCCGCCCTTCTCCTGCTTCTGTGAGTGTGAGCATGACTCGGTCAGATCCCTCAGACACTGAGACTGGGTGCTTTTGCACCCCTGTGTCGGCTTCTCTCACCAAGCACAGTGCCATTCAGTCTCCCCCATGCTGTTATAAGTGGTATGATTTCTTTCTTTTTAATGACTGAGTAGTATTCCAGTGTCTATAAATACATTATCCTTACTGATGGATATTCAAGGGTGTCATATGTACTGGTTTTAAAATATATTGGAAAGCCACAGTCATCAAAATTGTGTGGCACCAGCGTATACATACACAGGCCAAGAGAACAAAACAGAATGCCTGGAAGTAAATCTGTTCATTTGTGAGTGGTTTATGACCCTCAACCAGGGTGCCGCGAAGCCACATGGAGCAAGGACAGTCCCTCCAGTGCCAGGGAAAGTGGGCCCTCGCATCCCGAAGAACTGAGTCAGGCCTTTGTCTTAAACTGTGCCCCAAACCAGTAACTGCACATAGATGAAAGATGTAAAGACTGAAGCCATGACACTCCTGTCAGGAAACGGGAAGCTTCTGGGCACGCTGAGACACCACGCAAAAAGCACAGACAGCAAAAGCTCAAGTAGATCGCACCGTGCCAAGCTAAAGGCTGAGTGACAAAGGACAATCAGCAGAACAAGGCAGCCCGTGAGTGGCAGAGGCTCAGCGAGCCCCATGGCTGCTGGAAGGTTAATTGCCAGGTAGATCTGAGGCTGCCTGCATCTCAGCCACGAAGCAGCCACGAAGCAGCCACAGCCTTGATCCGAAGCCGGCAGAAGGCGTGGATGCACCTGCGTTTCTCTGCGGAAGACGCACGCGTGGCCGTGAGGTGTGTGAAGGGTGCTCACGGCCGCTGACCATCAGAGAAATGTAATGAAAGCCACAGTTACCGAAGACCTAAGGTAGTTGGCTGCACCACACCTAGAATCCTAGTTGTGTGGGAGGCTGACACAGGAGGATCGTAAGTTCACGTGCCACCTGACAGTTTAGCAAGGATCTGTCTCAGTGATTAAAACAAAAAAAAATTGTTGAAGGGCTGGGATGTAGCTCAACGGTAAAGTGCTTGCCTTAGCTTGCGTGACACCCTGGGTTCAATTTCTAATACTGAAGAAAAAACTTCTGAGATAACAAGTGCTGGCCAAAAGTGGGGAAAAGGGAACCCTTATGCATACAGGTGGGGCTATGTGGAGATGCCTCCAAAAATTAAAAATAAAACTATTCTCTGGTTTAACAACCCCACCGCTGGGTATATATCCAAAGGAATTAAACTTAGGATCTCAAAGGGCTATCTCCAGCCAAGCCTGGCAGCACAAGTGTGAAATCCTAGTACTGTGGGGAGGCTGAGGCAGGAGGATCACAACAGTGAGCGCAGTTTATTCAACCTAATGACTTAGTGACATACTGTCTCAAAACTTCATTGAAATGTTGAAAGGAATAGAAATGTACCTCAGTATGCAGCGGTGCAAAGGCCCCGGGTTCCTTCCCTAATATGGAGAAGGAGGGAGGGGGAGGGAGAGAGCGAGAGCCGCACTGCCGTGTCCCCTTATTCACTGCAGCCACGACGTGAAACGTGGTCTGCATGCACCGTGTTCTTTCCTTTCTCCTGAGGCCTCCATCTTGAGAACACATTCCATCAGACTTGAGTCTTGCCTTCAAGCAGCTGCCAGATGCCCAGACCGCTTCTGGGGCCTGCCCTACCAGCTCCCTGACCCTAAGACAGGGAGGCTGTGTGAGCCCTCCCCTCCCCTCCCCTCCCCTCCCCTCCCCCCCTTGAAACCCCACACCACCTACCTTGCATGCAGCCTGCAGCTGTGGGCTGAGCTCACAGGGGAAGCCCTGGGCCTGGGACCCTAGAGACGGGGGAGCCTGGGGGAGCCTGGGGGAGCCCCTTCCCTTCCCTCCGCCCACATGTCCCTTCTCCCTTCCCGTCCTCCCTGCTCCTGCTGCCACCCCAACCCTCAACAAAGGCAGCCACAGGCAGTCCTGCTCTGGAAGTACACAAGAGCCTGTGCTATTTCCGGCCCACTTGTCGGTAGCAGGATCACTGCAAATTCAAGGCCAGCCTGGGCTACAAAGCAAGACCTTGTCTCAAATAATAAGATAAAATAAAAAAGAGGTAGTTTCAAGGATATTTCTCAGGTAACATGATTAACCCGAGTTACACTGGTTTCTTGAAGTTTCTGAGCATTTGGACCAAGGGAGCTTGATTTTCTGACTATCCATTCATTTCTTAACATTGACTCATGTTAATTCATCAAGAATGTGCCAGGAGTTGCAACTGGGGTAGGGATGCAGTTCAAGTGTGTGGACCTGTGCTCACGGGGCCACCTGTGACTCTTACCTGGCAGGCCATCTGGAGCAGCAGGGATCGGTGGGCTCGCAGAGCTCCGCAAGGACCCTGTGGGGCCAGGGCAGTGGAAGCTGCCTGCCCTGGAGGAGGCTGCCCCTGCTCACAGCAAATTGAGCCCAGGGAGAAGGAGCAGGCAGGGCTACAGAGAGGCCTGGCTAGGGGGAGGGGGGAGGCGGCACGGAGGACCTGCTTCACGCACCCCCTGTGTGCCCTGGAGCAGCAGGCACGGCCGTGGGTGTGACAGGTGCCTGAGGACACTCACGTTGTATCCTCCGTGCCCCACTCCGTCTGCAAGGCCTGCGTTCACCTGTGACTCTTACCTGGCAGGACCTGAGGCCCAGAAGGGTTAAGAAATTTGCTCCAGAGAGTGTGCCCTGCTGCTCTGGGTGGTGGGCCATGGACCCCTGTGCCCCAGGACCAGCGGAAGGTGAGGTGGGCAGGCAGCCTGGAGAGGCTGACTTTACTGTGCCCTGCTCTGCCCTTGGAGACCCGAACATGGAGCATTGGGAGCCGCCGTAGCTGGGACATCATGATGGGATGAGGAAGGCGTTTCCAAGAGGGGACTGCCGGATCCAGAATCCAGAATCCAAGCGAATCTTTTCCTGTTGAAAAGAAAAAAAAAGAAGAGAAGACATAGATAAAAATTAAGTCAGATTTCTGTCAGACAAAGTACTGGGCTGCAAGAGGCACTGGCTCCTGGTGGGCGGGGGGCTGCTTTCTCACTCTTCAGACCTGTTGCCAGGTTCTGCAGGGGACTTCAGAGCCTCAGCTAGCCCTGGAGGGAAGGCTGTGCTTGCTTAGCCCTGGTTCCCACAGCGGGGAAGGGCCTGGGACTAAGGCGGACTGAATTCCAAAGCAGGAACTCCTGGAAAGAAACCCTAGAGGGTGGAGAAGGAGGATAGGAGGGAGAAGCCAGTGAGGTGCCATCCTCAGCTTGCTCCTGAACCCCTCAGGGACTCAGGATCCGCCCTCCTGATACCTGAGACACGTGTGGCTACCTAAGCAAATTACATGTAAGTAAAATTAAAAATTCACTTCTCAGTCTTCTTGCATTTCAAGTCCTCAATAGCAATATGTGGCTGTTGGCCACCATTTTGGATAGCACAGATCTAGAACGTTCTGTCAGCACCAGAAGTTCCATTGGTGTAAGTTCATTAACTGGTGCTCAGCTGTTACCCTTAGCTGAACTGAACTAGCGTGGTGCTGGGTGTGGGAGGCTCCCCCGAGGATGGCTGCCAGCGGCAGCGCAAGAGGCACAGCGGACAAGAGCTGGGAGAGACTGGTGGGAAGCTGTTTGGAGGAGCTGGTGGAGCTGGTGGAAGCTGCTGGTTCTTCTCACCTTGTCATGCTGGCTTTCCTGATGAACGTGGCTGTTCTTGTCAGAGAAGGAGCTTGGGACCCCACTGTCACTGAGAATGGCTATAGTTCATTTTGGGCAGGCGCTGGTGCTCATCTTGAGCATTGCTTCTTGTCTCTGGAGGGCAAGATGGTGCACTGCTCAGCCTTGTGGAGAAGCTTGTCATGATGGCTTTCCTGGTGGGAACTCAGCTGTCATTGCTAGAGAAGTTCAGGACCTCACTGTTGCTGAGGATGGCTTGGTACTTTTGGGGGAGCTCTGGTGCTTACTTTGACTGTTGCTTCCTGGGTCCAGCTCAGCTCCCTCAGCCTACTCGCACAGACTTTCCAGCTTCCCCCACTGCCCTTCGGGCCTTCCCAGCAGA